GAGAAGGCCGAGAAAGACGAAAAGGGGGAGGTTGCTGAGGCCGGGGACAAGAGGAGGCCTGTGGAAGATCTCAAGGCCCTGGTTGAAGGTTGCGTCAAGAACAACTTTGTAGGAGTTGAAAATCCGCGGCTGTACAGCCAGACGTACTACGGAACCAAGAACTTGGTACAGAATTTCGTGGACGAAGGTATGCAGACAATCTCTTTCGGAGGGTGCTTGCGCATATAGGACATGCTGACAGTCTTGGACGTACAGTCGAGAAGAGCACCAAATTCTTGATCGACACCAAGCAACTGACCCCAGACGAGAAGAGAGTCATGTTCAAAGGCATTTGCGCAAACTACGGCCGCTCGGCTCTCTGCCTGTCAGGAGGCGCTACCTTTGCATATTATCACTTTGGCGTCGTCAAGGCGCTGCTCGACGAGGATTGCCTGCCCGATATCATCACGGGCACAAGCGGCGGCGCGCTGGTGGCGGCACTCGTCGCAACGCGCACAAACGAGGAGCTAAAGCAGCTCCTCGTGCCCTCGCTTGCGCACCACATCACAGTCTGTCGCGAGCCTTTCAAGGTCTGGCTCCGGCGCTGGTGGAAGACGGGGGCGCGGTTCGACTCGCTCGACTGGGCCAAAGAGTGCTCGTGGTGGACTCGCGGGTCCATGACGTTTCGCGAGGCCTATGAGCGCACCGGGCGGATCCTCAACGTCTCGTGCGTGCCGGCGGACCCGCACTCGCCCACCATCCTGTGCAACTACCTGACAAGCCCCGATTGCGTCATCTGGTCCGCCGTCATCGCGTCGGCGGCCGTCCCGGGGATTCTGAACCCCGTGGTACTGATGATGAAGACGCGCAGCGGGCAGCTGGTGCCGTACTCGTTCGGGCACAAGTGGAAGGATGGCTCGCTGCGCACCGATATCCCGATCCGGGCGCTGAACTTGCATTTCAATGTCAACTTTACCATTGTCAGCCAGGTCAACCCGCACATTAATCTGTTTTTCTTCTCGTCACGGGGGTCCGTCGGCCAGCCAGTCACTCACCGCAAGGGCCGCGGCTGGCGCGGCGGGTACTTGGGTTCGGCGACGGAGCAGTACATCAAACTTGACCTGACCAAGTGGCTGAGGGTCCTCCGGCAGCTCGAGCTGTTACCGAGGCCGCTGGGGCAGGACTGGTCGCAGCTGTGGCTGCAGCAGTTTGGCGGGACGGTGACCATCTGGCCCAAGAGCAAGTTTCCTTCGGACTTTTTGCGTATTCTCAGCGATCCGGATCCGGCCAGGCTGGCCATGATGATCCATGAGGGCCAGCAGAGCGCGTTCCCCAAGATCAAGTTTATTGCGAATCGGCTCAAGGTGGAGAGGCTGGCTGAACGGGGACGGAGGGAGACCAGGCACGGTGGTATGGAGAAGAGGAGGGGCAGCATCGAGAGTTTCTTGAGTGAGGATGATTTGAGAGGGTTGTTGATCCGGACTGAGGGGTTGGATGGTGGTGATAGTAGTGTTCTTGGGGGTGGGAGCGTGACGGAGACGACGGAGGACGAGTTGTTGACTACGACCGACGAGGAGGACAATCATCAGGAGGTTGTGATGGATGGTGTCGGTAGTGGGCATAGCGATACTGGTGGGAAGGAAAAGGGCAAAGAAACGAAGGGGTTGATAGATGGCGGGAGCGATGCCGATCAACATGAGGAAGCTCATGAAGACACTGGGAGGATTGCTACACCGGCGGGGCTGGCTGTTACGGAGGCGGAGGAGTAGAATGACGTGGCCGCATTCGATCAAGAAAGCGATGTCTATGGGATGGATGGATAGATGGGGAAGTATTGTTTGCATGGTGGCTGTTGGGGACAGAATGGCAGCGTTGGCTATGGGTAGGAATGGTATCATTGCATGGTTTAGATGCCTTCTAGATATACAGATACGAGATATAGCATGCATGATTAGACGACTCCAATGGCAGTTACGAGTAGTTTTAGATGATCATATTGCCATGGACAAAAAGGCAAATAAGATGCTCAAGAGGTCAAAGGGACTAGCACAGTACCCGATGCTCGGCAACAGAGGCGAGTGTGGGTATTTGCGGAGACAAGAGACGGGATTTGTTCTTGCCTCGGGAGCGACAAAGTGGAAGGCGGTAAAACAGACATGTTAAGGGAGATGTGTCCAATCGGTAGCCGTTAAAAGTTGCTAATTATAATAATAATAATAATAATAGGTGCAATAACCAAGGTACCGAGTAGGTTGTAAACTCAGCGATTCCGTTTGGGAAAGGAAAAACCCAAACGGAATCGCTGAGTTGACTTTTTATGCAAGTGACATCAGACCATCTTTTTTTTTCTGCCATCGCGACAACCCCGCCAAAGCCGGACTACTGTTCAGTGTACCACCCCGCCATCCGGAGCAGACACCCATAACTCATCTTAGCTGAGGCAAGAAATCGTCAGGCAAGTCTTATTATCAAGATGTCGAGCTTTGACAAGTACCAGGTGAGTCCTACCTATGGCCTATGATCCCTCGGAGTGAGTGAGGGGCAGGACAAAGACTGACACGAGCTGTCGCAACTTCCACAGACGCCGCTCAGCACGCGCTATGCGTCGGCTGAGATGATGAAGATCTTCTCGGCCCGCGAACGCCACTCGACCTGGCGCCAACTCTGGGTCTGGCTCGCCGAAGCCGAGAAAGAGCTGGGCCTAAACATCTCGGACGAAGCCATCGACCAGATGCGCAAGCACGTCGTCGTGACCGATGATGGTTTCAAGTTGGCTCAGGAGTATGAGACGAAGTTCCGCGTATGTCCAACCCCCCCTCCCTTTCCTGTTAAAAACAGTGACTGAATGGCTATAGCACGATGTGATGGCTCATGTCCACGCCTTCGGAGACGAGGCTCCCGCCGCCGCCGGTTCCATCCATCTTGGTGCTACCAGTTGCTACGTCACCGACAATGCCGATTTGATCTTCATCCAGCGGGCCCTGGATCTTATTCTTCCCAAGATTGCAAAGGTGGTCCAGAATCTGCAGGCTTTTGCCCTCGAGTACAAGGATATGCCCGTGCTTGGCTTCACCCACTACCAGCCTGCCCAGCTCATCACCGTCGGCAAGCGAGCGGCCCAGTGGATCCAGGAGCTCCTGATGGACCTCGAGGACATTGAGACGGTTCGCGAGCGACTTCAATTCAGAGGCGCTCAGGGCACCACCGGCTCTCAGGCAACATTCCTCGAGCTCTTCGAGGGAGATGCGGACAAGATTGTGCAGCTCAACAAGGTAAGCCCAGCCTTCCTCGGTGATCGAACCTCGATTTGCCGCTAACATATTCTCAGATTCTGTGCAAGAAGGCTGGCTTCCCTTCGACGTACCCGATCTCTACCCAGACATACACCAGAAAGGTGCGTGTTTCCTGGTCCGGCCTTCGTTTCGTCTTGTATATTGACAAGTCAATAGGTCGATCTCCGCGTTGCGAATGTCGTCTGCGCTCTTGGTGCGACGGTTGAGCGCATTTGCGCCGACATTCGCCACCTGGCGAACCTCAAGGAGATGGAGGAGCCGTTTGAGAAAAGCCAAATCGTAATGCTGGCCCCAATTTCTTGCCGCGTGGTGAACTCGATACGCTAACAATAATACAGGGAAGCTCAGCCATGGCTTACAAGGTGAGGGCGAAACTGAAGAAGCGCATCACCAACAACTTGACACACCAACTGACATTTGTCCTTGACAGAGAAACCCAATGCGATGCGAGCGTATTACAGCACTCGGCCGCGCGCTCCGTGGATTGCCGGCCAACTTTGCCAATACTTTCGCACAACAGTGGTTCGAGAGAACGTAAGCATGCAGATGTACCCCTTGTCCATATTCGGTTTAGATACTAATGAATGATTTGGTTACAGACTTGATGATAGTTGGTTTTCCTTTCCACCCCCCTCCCCCCACGTTAGAAGTACCGACTGACTGTTTTGTGAACAGGTGCTATCCGCCGCATGAACATTCCTGAGATGGTAAGGCAGGACCTAGAAGCCTCAAGAGACAAGCCCGCTGATTTTTTGTTTAGTTCTTGTTGGCCGACTCAATTCTTCTCACGATGGACAATGTCACAAACGGCCTCATCATCTACCCCAACGTCATCCGGGCACGCATTGATCAGGAGCTTCCTTTCAGTAAGATATTATGTCTGATGTCCAACTGTGTCGAGCTTGATACTAACCGAAACCAACAGTGGCGACCGAGTCAATCCTGATGAAGTTGGCTAGCCACGGTGTATCTCGCCAGGATGCCCATGAGGAGATCCGTGTATTGGTATGTGTCTCTCGAAATATCCATCATCTATATGAACTAACGTATGGGTGAATGAAGTCACACCAAGCAAGCGCCGTCGTCAAACAGGAGGGAGGCAGAAACGACCTTCTTGAGCGCATCAAGAAGGCGGAATTCTTCAAGGTCAGTACTCATTCCTTTCGTCAACATTGTACCCTAACTAATATACTTGATGTCTTGTTTAGCCCGTCTGGAACGACATCGATAGCCTCGTTGACCCGTCGTTGTTTATCGGCAACTGCCCCAAGATCGTGGAGGTCTACTGTAAAGGTGAGGTAGAGGAGGCGCTGGCAAGATATAAGGAGGCGTTGGCTTCAACAACCACGGCCCAGCTGTCAGTCTAGATTCAACACTCATCCCCCCCTTTTTTCACACATGTACTAGATATCTATAAATTGGGAGGTTAGATAAAGAAAAATAAGGATTCGGCTTGGTTAAAAGCATATGAAAGCTATGTTCTTCGTCTAATGCAGTGATCTTTAAATCTCCCTTTTTAAACAGATGCCCCCTTATTTTCGGAGACGGAAGTGGAGCGGGATTGTCCCAGCGCCGGTAGTGCTGTTGGTTGGGGCCTAATAACTCGAGTCATACCCTTTGTTATGTTAGAGCGACCTGAGCGCGAACAGTCCAGTCCAAGCAGTCCCCATTGTATATGACCCAAACTTTTATAAATCTTATCAAGCTATCCAATCACACAACTGGACTGACAAGATGGCCGAGTTGGTTTAAGGCGCCAGATTTAAGATTTTGGAAACAGACTTTCTTTCTCTGGTATCGAGAGATGCGTGGGTTCGAATCCCGCTCTTGTCATATATTATCATTTTTCGTTTCGTAGGCTGCACTTTTTGATCGTCTGATCCAGGTAGGTATCGCCAAGGCGTCTTATTTAGTTTTGCCCCTTTTCTCCCCTTATATCAGGACTACTTCAATGTTAAGACCCAAGAGGCCACAACATGTCTTGTTCGGGTTATTAGTTATATTATGTACACCCCGGATTTCTGCAGCTGAGGCTATATGTACCTACCTAGGTACCTCCTCAAAAGTCCGATGGCAAAGATGGATAGATGGCCGAATCTGGCTCTTGCATCTCATCACCTCCCGTGTCGTCGGGCATTTTTTTATTACATGGACACTGTGTAGATCATCCTTTGGCTCTTGCACAGGGCCCTTTCTTTTTGATGGTGGTAATGGTGGTGGTTAAATCGGGGCAGCCAACCGGCCGATGGGAAGTTCTGTTTTGCGGAGTAATTATCCGTGTGTCCTTCCCCATGCCAAGAAGTCTTGTTTATTCTCGAGGTTCCTGTTATGGGAGGATGGTTCAGTGTCTGTCCTACTTCAATGGTGGGTAAGTTCCCCACGGTGTATGTGATGACGAGTTCTCCGGTGGCAGTTATCATCTCACCCATGCAAAAGGCACGGGTATCGGCTCCAGTCTTGCTGCTGCTTGTTGACGGAGTATATCTATAGTGCTGTTCGTATTCACTTTGGATGGGAGCGGGCATCTCGCTCCTGGACCTGAACGTACACACACACACACACACACACACACACATGATGGCCCGACTGGCCAGTTAATATGTTGTATACAAGCCGTATATAACGAAGTCAGTTATTGTCCATAGATGTCTTCCCCGAGAATGCGGAGAATGCGGATAAGCTCGATGGGGCTGCTTGCGTCGATGTGGGTAGTGTTTGTTGATATAATTCAACGATACCCGTGCTTCAGACCAGTTACCGCGTAGAGCAGCTCATTGTGTTGACGAGCGCAGACAGACACAGCTTGCTTCTGGGTGCTTTTCTTCTGCAAAATCAATCAATCCAAGGGTATCGTACGTTAACATTACAATGTTGCGCTTCACTGAGGCCCTCCTCGGGGCGGCCTCGCTGCCGGTTCTGCTCGTTCCAGGCAGCGCCGCCCCGAGAGCAGACCTTCTCGAGCAGCGCCAATCGGGAAACACCATCACGGTCGACCTGTCCAAGACGTTCCAGACCATGGACGGGTTCGGGATCAGCCTGGCCTTCCAGCGCGCCAACCTGATCACCAACATGTCGGACAAGAAGAAGCAGCGGGAACTGCTGGACCTCCTGTTCAACACGACCACGGGCGCGGGCTTCAGTATCCTGAGGAACGGGATCGGTTCCAGCCCGGACAGCAGCGGTGACCACATGAACACATTTGCGCCCAGGAACCCGGGTGGACCCAAGGCCGCGGCGCAGTATCAGTGGGATGGTAAGGACAGTGGGCAGCTGTTTGTTTCGCAGGAGGCGTATAATACGTACGGTGTGAGGAATATCTATGGTGGTATGTCTAGTTCTACCTCGCGGGTATGCATATGCATAGGAGAGAGCTGATGTTTACGTGTAAGATGCCTGGAGTGCCCCGGGCTTCATGAAGACCAACAACAACGAAAACAACGGGGGCTCGCTCTGCGGCGTGACGGGGGCGACGTGCTCCAGCGGCGACTGGAAACAAGCATACGCCGACTATCTCGTCGCGTACGTCAAGGCATGTTCACTCATATCTTGTGCGACCATGTCAAAATTCAAGCTAACCCGTTTCAAGTTCTACGCCGAAGCCGGCGTCACGGTCTCGCATCTCGGCTTCCTGAACGAGCCTGAGTTCAGCGCCAGCTACGCGAGCATGCGCTCGTCTGGCGCGCAGGCGGCCGACTTCATGAAGGTGCTGTACCCGACCATGCAGGCGGCCAACATCACGGACAAGACGGGCATCGCGTGCTGCGAGTCGGAGGGCTGGGGCAACCAGGTCAGCATGACCAACGCCATCAAGTCGGCTGGGCTTGAGGGCCAGCTCAAGGCTGTGACCTCGCACACTTATACCGGCGGGCCGAGTGGTCCCATGAATGTGCGCGCGCCCGTGTGGTTGTCGGAGCAGTGCGATCTGAATGGCCAGTGGACGACGTCGTGGTACTCCAACGGCGGTGCCGGGGAGGGCTTGACCTGGGCGAATAATGTCTATTCGGCCGTGGTGAATAATAATATCTCTGGCTACGTGTACTGGTATGTTTTTTTTTTCTTTCCCAAAGCTTTGTTTTGCTTTGAGTATTACCCCTGAGTTACCCCCTGAGTGTTGACCGCAAGTATACAGGGAGGGTGTCCAATGGCCGAACCCAAACACGAATGAAAAGCTCATCAAGGTCGACAACAAGACTAATACCTACGAAGTCGCCAAGCGTCATTGGGCCTTGGCCAACTGGTCGCGCTATGTCCGTCCGGGTGCCGTCCGTATCGGCACCTCAGGCGCCCCTAGCGGTCTGCGTACGGCGGCGTTCAAGAACATCGACGGCAGCATTGCCATCATGGCCATCAGTTCAAGCGCGTCGGCCGTCAGTGTCAGTATCAAGGTATCCGGTGCAACCCCCGCGGCCGTGGAGGCGTACGTTTCGGATAACACGCACAACTGCGAGAAGATGATGGCAACGCTGGCAGCCGACGGGACCATATCTGGATCTGTGTCGAGTAGGTCAATTACTACCTTCTTTCTACCGGCTCCGGCAGCTGCGGCAGCTCCACCACCAGTCGCTCGAGCGGTGGGATGAGCTGCCTTTATGGAAATGACAAGAGAAAGGGGCAGGATGCCTTGGGCAAGGTACCTAGGTAACCAAGACTGTGAAGACTGTATTTAGGGATTATTTAGTAAATAACTATCTGTGTCTTCTTCGTAGTGTATTGAGCCACCGCGTGCTCAATTCCCTCGGGCTAGGTAAGGTATCTTACTTAGCTTCACTTCAACACCAATTCTCTTGGTTTTGGTATCAACACTATGTTCAAAGGAAAACAAAACATATCTCTAAGTAGCCATGGCTTCGTCATTGGAAGGCAAATAAATCGCATCAAAAGAACTCCACTCCCGAGCCATCTGCTGCCACAGCATATTCCGCTCCAGATCCTGCATCAAATCCTGCGTCACGTCCGCCATGGATGATATCTCGGTGTGGTGGTCATCCATCGCTTCTTGGTGCTGGTTGGCAAACATCTGGTCGACCTCGGAACGCTAAATGCCATTAGCATCCATCCATCTAAAGTATCATTCAGGGGGAACCCACCATAATCTCACTCAACGCCCTCATCTTCCTCGCCAAAGTGAAGAACGGATCCACTTCCTCCTCTTCCTCTTCCCTCCCACCACCAGACACATGATCTCCCATGACTCCCATGGTTCCTCCCTCGGCCGACATAGACGACGAGTCAAAGTGATAGGCTCGCCGGGCAGCACTGCCGCCGCCCAGCAGACTGTCGCGCCCAAACTCCTCCCTCGCCCGCGTAAACTGCTTCTGTCTCCGGTGAGCGACGGCCTCCATCTCGCCGACCTGTCTCTCCAAAAACTCCTCGAAGCGGAGCTCGCGCCTGACCAGGGCCACGTCCCACCCGGGCACCTGCAGCATGATCAGTTTGAGCGCCGTCATGAAGGCGTACATAAAATCGAAAGACGACATGCAGATGAAGCGTGGGCGTTCGAGGAGCCGGTCGAGGAGCCGGTCGAGGTCTTGTTGGTTTGCGGATGGTTGAGCTGCAGCTGCTGGGTCGAAGCGGTTGCTCAAGAAGGAAGTCGTGGCTCGGACGCAGGACCAGAGAAAGTCGAATCTGTCTGCTGCGGAGAGACCGGTGCCTTTGCAGGTTTTGTTGTGGGTGTCGTTGTTGGAAGCGATCTGAATCTGGGGAGACGGGGACGGGGAAGAAGCGGATAACAGTGTCGGTGGTGGTCCAACAGGATCGTCCATGCCGACTTCGTAGAGGATGATTTCCGAGATGGAGATGTGGCCGCGGAGGGTGGGATTCTCTCTCAAGTAGCCCGGCACGCTCTCTTTGAAGGCCTCGATCTGCTGGCCGAAGTTCCTGACCACGGTGGCCAGGGGCAGGTCGTCGGGCTGCATGCCGTCTGACCGGCACAGCGTCAGCCGCCAGGTGATGGCTTGGGTCAACTGCTGGACCCGGACCAGCCAGACCAAAAGCTCGTCCGACGGGTACTCCATGGCGCTCTCGAGCACGCTGCAGCACATCTCGAGGTACGACGTGTTCATCAGCGCGTCGGGCTTCTTGTTGGTCGTGAAGGTCATGGTCACCAGGTAGTACGTGCCCGCAAAGGCCCGCATCCCGTCCAGACACTTCTGCCGAGTGAGGCCGGCCGGCTCGGCTGATGCTGCTGCCACCACCACCTCTTTGCGCTGGTTGTGGCTCAAGCGAGACTCGGGGAACCCCAGGCTACAGCAGATGGAGCGGGCGAGGAAGAGCAGGTTGGTCATCTGAAAGCTGTTTAGGTTGTAGTGATACCTGATCAACTCGCCCGAGCATCGTTTAGTTTGTTGTTGTTTAATTACCCAAATCAGTGGACGAGGGAGATAGATAGGCACACCAGACTTACCAAGAAACCAGAACTTGTAGGCCCTGAAGCAGATCAAGGCTCTTTTGCGGCTTGGTAAACGCGGCCTCGGTGATTTCCCTCAGCAGCTCGTTGCCCGTCACCAGCTGCTTTGGGCCGTCGAGGTGGTACGCCTCCATCATGATGGCCTTCCACAGGAACGGTCGCTGCTGCCGTAGCTGGCGCGCGGTCATGTGCCGCGGTATCACGACGAAGGGGAACAGGTGGCTGGTATTGTCGTGATAGCGTTGCAGGAGGACGCTAGCTTCTGGCTCTTCTGGCCAGATGGTTGTCGGGATTTCATCCTTTCGTCGCGGCTTCCGCTGCTGCTGCTGCTGCTGCTGCTGCTGCGATTCAAGCCGCTGGGGTCTGCTGAGATCGGTTTGCACTTGGGCAAACGGAGCATATGGCTGTCGAAGAACTAGGCCAGGGG